CCTATGAAGCGGTATATAAGTCTACTGCTATTGCTATTGCTATTGAACTAAGGTACTGTGATTTGCAAACTGTGTCTTTATTTTTGCTTAAACTTATACCGTTGTGTTTAGTCAATAAACACTAGGCAAATCATGGTTTAAGGTTTGCTTCGACAATGTATGTATATATTCATATTAAATGAGTGGTTAAATGTCTATTTTAATATTGCTTCTATGCACTTCCAAGATATATCTGTTCTATGTTATTCTTTATTGTTATTGAATATATTACCTTTTCACAAAGGACTTTCAAGACAGCTAATCAAGATTGAGTTTATATGTTATGTAAATTATGGTTTGTTTATAATTGGATTTAGCTACAATTAACATGGTTCACATAACACAATCCAGAAGTTTTTAAAGCATAAGGGATGGATTCATATATAGTACATTAAGCCAAAAACCTAAAACAAATGTCTTTTTATTGTGTGAATATATCCCACACTTACCAGTGGAAATGACTTATAAGTTACATATAATCTACAGTATTTTTCTCAACTTTCTTTGGGCCCGGGGAAGAGTCTATTAATAGGAAAACTTTAACCGTCTTCCCCCAAGGCTATTTTCCACTCTGACCTACACAATGATTTACTTAGTGAATAATGCACCACATTTATTTTTTAACCAGGTTTCTTTCACAGAAGTGTATTAATGTAAGGCTTTGACCCTAACATTAGATAAACTAACCCTAATTTCTAAAATCATGCCAGGAAAAGCAGCTGGTTGGGAGGTCCGGAGGGCTGAAGCCTAGAGATAGTTTTTAATGTATGGGCCAGCCGCCAGCCTTCTGGAACAGCCTCCTGTAGGAAGTTTGATTGGCCCAACTTGAGGGACCTTCCAGAAACTGCTGAAAATGGAGGGAGGTTGACAGCAGATGCTGTTTTAAGTTATATGCTTTGTATTTTATAATAATGTATTTTATGATTATGGTGGGATATTAGTGCAATACATAAGTAAAGAAATATTCCAGTGAACTGGTCAAACTAAAAACCTTAAAGAATTGTAATTTGCATTGAATTAATTGGGAGAAATCTTATTTAGGCCCAGTGGATTTCATCTGAATGCTAGTGTTAAGGAACAAAGGATATTAACAGATGTTAAATTGGGGAGATAGTTTTTTCAGGATCACATCAGGAAAAATAAATTCCTTGTCTGCCATGATCCCCATAATTATCAAATATCCCCAGAACTTTTATTTCAAGCCTGTCCATTAAATACAGATGCATATTGTAGTCCTCAATTTACAACCACATTTAGGACAGGAATTTCTGTTGTTAGTGTGGTCATAAAGCAAGTCATAATCAGACCTGATTTTACAACCATTTATACAGCCATGTGGGTTCTTAAGCAAATTCAGCTTCTCTAATTGACGTGTTTTGTTAGAAACTGGCTGGGTAGATCAAAATTGCATTAATATGATTGTAGGATGTTACAACCGGTTGTAAATGCAAACCGGTTGCTAGGAACCTGAACTGCAGCGTGACTATGGAGGGATGTGTGTGTTGTTGTGTAATGGTCATAAGTGTGATGACAGGTCATAAATCACTTTTTCTGTCATAATTATGAACCATCTTTAAATGAATGGTCCTAAGTCGAGGACTATTTGTATTTAATGAACCTTTAATCCAGTGTTTCTCACACTTGGCAACTTTTAGATGTGTGGACCTCAATTCCTGGAATTCTCCAACCAGCATGTTCACACATCTTTAAACTGCCAATTTGAAAAACACTAGATTTAATCTGTGGTCCTTTACACTGTCTATGTTGATTTGAAGATACTGCATGTAGTGGAAAGAACTCATTGCGATGCCTTCTTGCCAGGGTTGACCATGAACGAATCCGCGCTGTTGGTCCAGATAGAGCAGCTTCAGAGTGGCTCCTTCGGTGTGGTGCATCAGTGCGCTACCATGGCTTTGACAAATGGCAACAAGATTACAATGCAATCCCTATGGGTCCGCTGGAGAAATATAAGATCCAAGCAATCAATGCCACAGAATCTTGCATCATGAACAGAGGATTTGATTATTTTGGTATGTTACTGAGCCTAACATAACTAATTTAATCTGTAGATATTCGCAGACAAATTATTTGATAAAGTTTGTTATTTGCCTGCTAGCCCCTTTTCCTTTGTGTTGCTCTGATACAAGAAGCTTGCCTTTTTAAAGAATTGTGCAAAGGACATCATAGAAACTACAGCCTATTTGGTGCATTGCTTTCATACATGGCGAATTCTGCCTAAGGGCAGTTCACTTCAATAATAGTGCATAGCAGTTATTTCATTTGCACCACTATTATCTTAATGGTATCTACTGAAATCAGGAAGACAATCCCTCCTCTACCCATAACACAATTTCCTTTTCCTATTTCATGCCAGTCTTTCACAGAATTATCAAAAGTGTAATTTTGAGACAATAGGCAACTTTCCCTGATCTGCTGCCTTCCAAATGAGTTGGTTTCAATTCTTATAATGCCCAGCCACCACAAGCAACACATAATTGGTTCTTATCCAGATTAAGGAGGCTTGTATTTAGGAATATATTTGCCTTACAAGTAATACAAAACAGAATGTGATTTTGTTTGGATTATAGGATACATGATATTCTCCATTAAGATTTAGAGTTCTGTGCAAACCATGAAGCTAGACTTATACCATGTCAAAATCTTGATTAATTGTGGGTTTTGTCATAATATTGGTCCAAGTAAAACAATGACTGGCAATAGCTTGTAAATCTATTGTATGTAGACAGATGCCTTGCCTAGAGATGTTAGAAATTATCCAGGCCCTTTTCTCAAGAGTTATAGTCCTTTTTTTAAAAAGAAAAATATCACTTTCACCAGAGGTTCTTTAAAAAAAACCCTTTAAAAAATTTCTATAAGAAGTTAAAACTATTTTCTCCACTGTTGTGAAAACAGACTTTGCCTATTCAATTGCACCCCATATAATATGTAAGGAACAAATTCATTATTGTAATTCTAAATTATATGTGATCTTGCTGGATTGCCTTTACCAAAATCAGAATGGTTTGATTTTATCTAATGCCAGTAGAGAGGCTCCACTTACTGTGCTTAGTGAAGCTTTGCTATTGTTATTGCTGGGTGCACAAACTAATAGTGACGAAGCATGTTCCATATGATGGAATAGTTTTACATTAATCTATAAACCATAGTTTTTAAATTCTTAATAGCCAAATTCATGCAACAAACTGAACTAAAACTAAGCAAACCAAATTGTAACTTAAAATGATGTGAGTCCAGTCAGTATATGGATCAGAGCAGAAGCCCCTCACATAACCTTTTTGTAATAAGCTCTTCCCTTAACAAGACATTATGCTATTTCAGATGGTCTAAAGCAACTTGAAGAAATAAAGTTTTGCAAGTGCATATACATTGAGGATGCATGCTTACAACGGATTAGCGAGACTCCAAGCCTGCAGAAGAGCTTGCTGCGTTTATTTCTCATTTCTTGTGGAAATGTTACAGACAAAGGAATCATTGCATTGCATAAGCTCAGGTATGTAACACAATTAACACACCTCTATATTTTATAAAGTAGTTATGATGATTGTGTGGGCTGTTTTCCCTGCTGCAGCCTAGATAAATTAGAAACAGTTAAGTTCTTGGTATTCTCTGAGCTTGATTATTTTCTTTCGTAGTCTTCAACATATAACCACAATTAGAATTGGAATTTCTTTCCTAAGTTATTGTAGTCTTAAGATCAGTTGGACCTGATATTACTACAATTTTCATAGCAGTCATTAACTGAATCAGATGGTCATTAATTAAATCACATAGCTATTAAGCAAATCCAGCTTCCCTAATCGGCATTATTTGCAATGGCCTGACTGTAGGATGCCGCAACCAGTTGTAAACGCAAGCCGGTTCCAAATGCCCGAATTGTGATGATGTGACAACGGGGTGGTGTGATGGTTGTAAGTGCAAGTACAGGTCACAAGTCGTTTTTTCGAAGGCTGTCATAACTTTGAACCATTAAAGAGTTGTAAGTTGAGGACTACCTATAGTAGAAAACTTATTACATATAAACAATCAGCCGTCTTCACTCATCCATGCACTGATAACAATACTTAGCCTACGTTTGCAGGAAAACAACCCAGCTTAGATGTCTATGGAGATTCTCAGTCATCCAGGTCATGGTTGTCCCAAAGGTGCTTTTTTTTCAAGAGTCAACTGGATTTTCTTTGAAGACTTCTCATCCAAGAAGCTTCTTCCAGTCAACTGAAGAAGCTTCTTGGATGAGAAGCAAAATGTTTTGAAAGAAAAACCAGAAAGTCCAGTTGTCTCTTGAAAAAGCCCCTTTGGGACAACTCAGCTTAGAGAAGACTAAGACCCCCCCCCAGAGTGCAACCTTGAGCTACAGATGTTCTGTACTGTTGAAATTAAGAGATTGTTTACAATGTATGCACAGATCCATGTGTCTGTCTAGAATTCTGATTGCGCCACCATCTCTAGATGTTTTTGCCTTTGTGTATGCTGGAAAGCTTACAGTATGTTCATTGCTTCAGTTAATGTACAGGTAATTCTTGACTTACAACCATTTGTTTAGTAACTGTTCAAAGAAATAACAGCACTAAAAAAAAGTGACTTGTAACTGTTTTTCATACTTACGACTGTGGCAGCATCCCCATGATCATGTGATCAAAATTTGGATGATTGGCAACTGGCCCATATTTATGACAGTTGCAGTGTCCCAAGGTCATGTGATCACCTTTTTCAACCATCTGATGAGCAGTCAGTGGGGAAGCCAGATTCACTTAACAGCTGTTACCAACTTAGCGACTGCAGTGATTCAATTCACAATTGTGGCAAGAAAGGTCATAAAATGGGGCAAAACTCACTAACAACTGTCTATTGCTTAGAAATAAAAATGTTGGATTCAATTGTGGGCGTAAGTCGAGGACTACACGTATCAGGTTTTTTTGCTGGGCATATTGAAAACATAAATATGAGCTTAATTGTATAAATGCTTGTAAAATTTTCGGGAGGGGGGGTGACATAGTATTTATTCTATTGAAAATAAGATATTGATGACACTAGTGAGTATTGTGAAATGGGCACCTTTTGCTTTCTGTGTCCCTGAACAACTATTTTGCTAACAGTAATCTTTCTCTCTCCTTTTATTTAATTTCTAACAGCAACCTGGAATATTTATTCCTGAGTGATCTGCCAGGGATACGAGAGAAGGAAAGAACTGTTCAGTCCCTTAAGAAATCAATGCCAGCACTTGAGCTTGAATTAGACTTGGACTAAAATCCTGACCATTCTATGTGGCATCATTTGCCTTATTAAATCTGTGAAACGATCCTCTGAGCAGCCCATGGTTATTGTGGAGCTCCTTGGCCTAGTTAAGAGGAGGAGGCTGCAGACAGAAGCATGCAAGGCACACAGACTGCTCCTTAAGCTCTAATACTCCCCTTGTATAAGATACAGAATCCCAGAATGTATGGAAAAGATGAGAAACAAGCCTCTGTTCTTAAGGGTCTTTTATGTTTTTATGGGGAAAGTTAGATATAGATATTGCTGGCCAATATAGTCATAATTAAAAGTGTTATGAATTAATTTTTGGAGGAAAATTCCTTTCCTATTATAAATAAAGGCGGAATTTGAGGATGCTAACACACAATAATAAATGCTGCATAACTAATGATGATGAGGTTTCTGAAGCTGAACATCAGAGGCCACATCATTTCTTTGATTCTTGTTTTGATAGAAAGTGGCCTTTAAAATATGCTGGAGAGGATATTTAATAAATTAGAATAGTATAAAGAATTGAAGGGACCTTGGAGGTCTTTTAGTCCAGTGGTCACCAACTGGTGGTTCATCAGAAAATTTTGGTAGTCCACAGAAAAATTATTTGCGGTTTTTCATTGCACTAAATTGGGGGCCCTCAAACTATGGCCGCTGGGCCGGATACATGCAAGGAACGTTTGTGTTGCTGCAGAGAGTCTCCCCCTTTGGGGTCTTTTTGTGAGGGTCAGAGGGAAGCAGAAATTCCAACTTGGGATCCGCTTCAGCCTCCTGGTGCAGGGCTTTGGGCAAAGGCTGGATGGTAGTGCCACTGGTGGCAAAGAGCCAGAGGGCCTTGTTCCAGTGGGACTACATCATGGCCTGGAACTGACTGACCATCACAGCCCACTGAGCGTCCAGGGGCCAGTACCTATCCTTGCAGTCCTGCAGGTCTTGCCTCTGCTTGGAAAGCCAATTCTCCTAATCCTCAGTGAGGTGCTTCTGCTGAGCCTCCTTCTCAGTCACATCCAATTTGAACTGGGCTGTTTTGCCAACTCTTTCTCATGGTGTTTGCTTAGCTCCAGCAACTGCTTCCTGTTGGGGCCCTAAGGAGCCCAGGCAGGCAGGCGAGGAATGACGAGTAGAGGCTGGCAAGATGCCCCTCAATGTGAGTGACATTGAGTTGGCCACGCCCACCCAGTCACATGACCACATCGCTACGCCCTCCCAGTCAGTCATTAGGCAGATCACGTTAGTGGTCCGCGGGATTTAAAGTTATGAATTTAGTGGTCCCTGAGGTCCAAAAGGTTAGTGACCCCTGTTCTAGTTCAACCCCCTGTTTGGGCATGAAACCTATACCATTTCAGGCAATTAAATGAAACCTGTGAAAAAATATACATATTAAAATTTTATTTTATTTCTAGTTATTCTAGGTAAAAATAACATTGATTACAATTGAAAGAAACAAAATGTTTAATTAAAGATCTTCTTTACATTTTGTTGCAAAAACAGGGACAAAGAAAAAGTTCGAATCCAGGCATTTCTGGTTCTCGTCTGTAACCTCCAAAGCCAACCCTCCACCCTGCTTGCACAAAGAGCCTGCAGGTTCAGCCTGCCAAGGAAACTAGCTACATCTCTAGTATAAGACCCGGGGTTCTCTCCTGCTTTGACACAAGGGGATTTTGTGAATGAAATATATTTGGCATGTATGGATCTCCTCCACCAATTCCCGCTGCAGCAGAGGGCAAGAATTCTTGCCTCACAAAGTATAAATTACAAGTTAAGAGATACAATTTTTCAAGAGGCCCAAATACCATTTTCCTGATGAACTCTGATAAATTATTTCAAACCTTTCGTTGACACATTTTGTGTATGTATGTGTCTTTTTGCGCATTCGACACATTTCCTTCCCAAGGTTTGTCACTTTTCAGCCAGAACATTATGGTTTGTTTTAGCTGATGCCAGTGTAGATACTGTAATTGTCTTCCAAGGTTTTTTTTTCATAGTTGGGAACACAAGAAGACACAGAATGGACTAGATGTGACATCTCCTTTTTTTTTTAGATGTTTGGGAAACGGTAGTTGAGTTTTCTTGTTCCACAGTAGTACTTCTTGTTATCCAAAGCAGGTAAAATGTTGCTGCTGGTTAATTGGGGCAGATACTGTAACTGAAAGATAGAGTATAAATTATGATTCATTGAAAAACATGCACCTGCCCTTCGTTTTAGCCTATTTTAATGCAAGATTTTCAGAAAAAAAGTTTTTTTTTTAAAATCAGGGCAATAGCAATAGCAGTTAGACTTATATACCGCTTCATAGTGCTTTCAGCCCTCTCTAAGCGGTTTACAGAGAGTCAGCATATTGCCCCCAACAACAATCTGGGTCCTCATTTTACCCACCTCAGAAGGATGGAAG